TTACAAAGTTTCTGTAGAGATTCAAACCAATGTTTTATTCATATACCTACTACTAATGGGAATTCATTTTTATTTAATTAATAAGCATGTTTCATTTTTATTTTTATTTTTAAAAAAGAAGCTTCTTTCAATTTTATTTTTCTCATTAAAAAAAGAAAGAAAGTCAAATTTCAAGTGGAGACATAAAATGTCATTGTTGTTAATCTATTCATACTGCAAAAACAAAAACAAAAACAAATTTAAGATTTGATAATCTCTATACGAAAAATTCAAGATTTGACAACCTCTACATAAAAATAAAAATAAAATAAAATAACTATTTTGTTTAGTAAAATAAAATAAAATAAAATAAAAGTAACTATTTTGTTTAATCATCTTTGGCGACTAAAATATGATTTGGTCGGCAAAGATAAAAGTAATTATTTGTTTTCATTCGGCTACCAAACAATTTAGTAGCCAAAAGTAGCTCTACAACGACTAAAAAGGAATTTTGTCGCTGAAAATATATTTTTGGCAACCAAAATTTTGGTCACCAAAGATAAAAAATAATTTTTTTATTTTCATTAGGCTACTAAACAATTTAGTAGCCAAAAGTAACTCTACAGCGACTAAAAATGAATTTTGTCGCTGAAAATATATTTTTGACGACCAAAATTTTGGTCGCCAAAAATAAAAAATAAAAAAAATATTTTCATTCGGCTACCAAACAATTTAGTAGCCAAAAGTAGTTCTACAGCGACCAAAAAGGAATTTTGTCGCTGAAAATATATTTTTGGCGACCAAAATTTTGGTCGCCAAAGATAAAATTATAATTTTTTATTTTCATTCGGTTACTAAACAATTTAGTAGCTAAAAGTAGCTCTACGGCTATTAAAATTTCTTTTAGTCACCAATTGTGATATGATTAGCTACTAAAAAATTTTGTAGTCGCCAATTGTAATATTTTTAGCTACTAAATTTTTTTTAGTCGCCAATAATCAACATTCCCCTACTAAAAAAAATTAGTAGCTAAAAAGTTGGCTTTTGCCGACTAATATTATTTTTGGTAGCCAATTCCGTAACTTTTGGCGACTAAATTGTTTTTAGTAGCCAAAAATAGTCGGTAAAAATGTATTTTCTTGGTAGTTGAGTTTATTTTGAGAAATGGCCCTATACAATGCGTTAAGCTAAGCGCCCCCATACATTTGTTAATGTATAGACATGGAATGGACCGGGTCTGATGGTGAAGGTATGAGGTTTGAGTTTTTTTATTTATTATTTTATTATTTAATACGATCTTCTGTTAGAGTGTGTTTGTTTTGAGGGATTATTTCATGAGATTGGACAATTAATCCATTCGGACTAATAGTTCATTGTTTGGTTCAATTTTTTTGCTCCGGATTAAAAGTCTCTCTAGACTGTTAGTCCCTCATATGAGGGATTATTGTATCCTAGGGGGAGGGGTGAGATTATTTTCATGTGATTGGTATTCAATGGAACTAATGTGTGAAGTGTCCATTTTACCCTCATACTATTACTTAATAAACAATTGAAAAATAGTAAAATAGTCTTTTGAACATTTATAAATTATTTTTTTTTCTGTTGTTAATTTAAAATTATATATTAAATAAAAAATCTAAATTAAAAATTAATTACAAATAATAAATTAAAAATTATGGACTTATAATTTTTTCAGTGTTGTTAAAAAATTAAATTTATATATTAAATAAAAATTATAAATTATAAATTAAATTCAATTAAAAATAATAAATAATAAATTATAGCCTTATAAATTAAATTTTTTTAGTGTTGTTAAAAAATTAAATTTATATATTAAATAAAATAATTTTTTTAGTGTTGTTAATTTAAAATTATGTATTAAATAAAAAATAGAAATTATAAATTTAATTTAATTGAAAATAATAAGTTAAAAATTATGACCTTATAAATTAAAAATTTTTAGTGTTGTTAAATTATAAATTATAGATTATAAATTTAAAATTATATATTAACTAAAAATTACAAAATTATAAGGGTAAAATAGTCTTTTGAACATTTATTCTTATCTAGTCTGTCCAACCAAACATTGAATTTACTAAAATAAACTAATCCAGACATCTAATCTCATGACTAAACAAACATAGGATACAAATCTAGTCCAACCAAATAGTCTGGGGACACTGTATCCCAGGACTAACAGTTCAATGAATTGTAATCTCCCTTTATCCAATCCGTCCAAATAGTGGATAGTTCTCCTAATTAGTTGGTCGAATATCAAGTTAAAAAAAAAAATAAAACAAGAAACAAAAATGGCATGTTTATCCAATCCGTCCAAATAGTGGATAGTTCTCCTAATTAGTTGGTCGAATATTCAAGTTAAAAAAAAAAAAAAACAAGAAACAAAAATGGCATGAGAGGAGGATATATGCGAACATTTTGGATAGTAAGCAAAAAATTATAAATGATTGTAATAAACGAAAAAAAGAATCATTCAGTTTGATTTCAATTTTTAGAATTCATTTCTCAAAAAATTCTATTTTTTTATTTTTTGTATTTTATATTTTCACTGATTTTTTTAATATTTTAAGCAATTTTTTTATAAAATTTTTAGACATACCTAACATAAATACACTTAAAAAGTATAATATTTGTGAAAGAAATATTTAAAAACTTCACTAAATATCAAAAATATAAAAATTTAGTATATTTTTCATATTTTTGTGTATTTATTAATTTTTAAAATATTTTTTCACAAATATTTTACTATTTAGATACATCTAAGTAAGGTGCATCTAAAAAAGTGAAAAAAAAATTACTTAAAATTTTAAAAATATTCATTCAAAATAAAAAAAAATGTGAAAAACAAAAAACTTAATTTTTAAAAAACTGAAACCAAACATATTGAATTGTATTTTTTTCAATATTATGATTATGCTTGAGTGGATAAAAAGTAAAGCATGTGAGAGACAGGTGAAAATCTCTCTAGAAAATATGTGAGACGCTCAAAAGTTTTAATAATTTTATCACAATGATGTGGTATGATAAATGTTAACTTTTAATTGGTTACACATTCAATGATACATGCTCCAACTCTATTATCACATTATTATGGAAAAATTGCTGCTAAAAAAAACCCATTATTATGGAAAAATTTGTGAATATAAAATTGTGAATAATGCTTCTCATTTTTTTTTTCATTTTTATATTTTAAGGAGTAATCTCGGTATTACAAATATTTTATAATCAATTAGTTTATTTTCATCAAATTTTATCACTTTTGGTGAGAAATGAACGGGTAAAATAAGAAAGTTCTATTTTTCACAATTTATCACCTAATTTATAAATCAAATTTAAAAAAAACAATTTGGAACCACTACTTGCTTTGTCAAATACTTAGATTGTATTTCGATTATAAATTTGAGTAAAAATTTAAAAAAAAATAAAAAAATGAAGGAAATGTGAATAAAATATAAAATAAAATTTCTCAATTTCCCTTTCTCTTTACAAATCCATGATCAAAATAGTAGGCTAAAATATTTATGTTTGGGAAGAGAGTTGGATTTTTTTGTAATTGGATGTGATGTTTGTGAGAGAAAAAGTAAAATGATTATAAATTTAATGTGACATTTTATCTTACTGGCTATTTTAGCCTATTCTGTGTTTTTGTAGATTTTAGTCCCAAAAAAGCCAAACCTTGGCTTCCTAAACAGCCCCTATATATTTATAAGTTTTAACCTTTCATCATAATATTATATATTTATAAGTTTTAACCTTTGAATAAAATAAATTCTAAATTCTAAATTTTATTAATTTAAATTAAAATTTTTTAATTTGTTTTCAATCTAAATTATTTGTTTGTTTTTATTAAGTAAAACTGATAAAAAAAATATTACTTTAATCATTAAACTTAATGTAGGTATATATAAAATGTTTAAATACTTTTTCATTGAGTTTAATAATTAAAATATCATTTTTTCGATCATTTTATTTGATAAAAATAGACCAATGGTTTAAATTTAAAACAAATTAAAAATTTAGTGTTTAAATTGATAAAAATTAAAAATTTAATTTGATATAAGAGTCAAACTTTATTTTTATTTTATTTTATTTTAAATTTCCTCTATTTACAATTAAAGTGCAACATCTTTTGTATTGTATTGTAGTACCTTTTACATCATAGAGTACCTATTGTATGTAATCCTTCGAGTGTGTGATTTAGATTTAGATTTTATCATTGTTTTTATTTCATATCTTATCAATCTTAATCAGATATTATTTTTGGTCAAAGAGCAATTAAAACAAAGAGAGACAAATGCCATGTTTGGTTTTGTGGAAGGTAGAAAGATTCTCCATACGGAAAGTAAGATGAGGTACTCCTTCCTTGACTCTGTAAAGAGAAACCAACTCGGTAGTAATCACTCCCGACTAGAGATGGTTAGGAGGACCCTTCGACGATCAAGTTAGAAATATGATCGGCCATATAGTATTTGGTTTGGTTAGGAAGAAAGATTTTATTTTCTTCTTTGCTACCCCTTTCACTTTTCCTTACTTTATAGTGTTATTGTCTTGGGCTTAGTCGTTGGATTGGCATCTTCATCTAAGGGCTCTGGTTACTACCAGACTTTGGTCGGGCAAGTGGCCAGGTTACTTTGATCCTTTGCTGTTGGATCATCTTGCTGTGTGCGACTTAGATTATGTCAGGCATTAGTGGCCAACTTGCCGATTGCTTCATCTATCCGATTAGGTTCATCGGATGGTTGTGTCATTTGAGTTGGTTGGGCCTATGCTCCTATCTCTGATGATTGCGATCCTCACCATTGATTATGAATGAATCTAAGGGCATCCTTGCATTCTGCAGATCTCCTTCTAGAAGGTGATTTTACTCGGGCTTTGGTCAAGTGACACTATCTCTTCGTCTGACAGACTTATCGATGATTTGGGCTTTTCTCTTGATTTGTGCTACTTGTCTGGGCTTGGGCTTTAGGCCAATATTTTTACCTCTAGGCTTTGGGTCAATTTTTTTACCCCTTCACAATTGCTCCTTTTCGGCGATCTTTCAGGGTGGATTGTCGAAGACGTCGTAGCCGGCCTAATTGGAATCTGGGTCGTCGCCTCTGCCAGTGACATACGTCCTTTCCATGGTTTTAAATTTAATGATGATGCCCGTCATTTCTTTTTTCAATGCGTCATTTTGCTTTTGACACATTAATTGAGGGGTTGTCCCTTGCCCTTTGCCACTTTGCTCATCGTCTTCTTAGAACCCTATATGTGTTCCTTTCTGTCCTTCGCCTGAAGTTCCAGTTTGTAATCCTTGTAAGTTTTTCCTCTCATTTGCCTATTTCAATTTTGAATTTGTTTTTGCTTCTTTTTCTGCTATTTTCCCTTCATTTTCACCATGAATCGTTCGAGATGTTTGTTTAAGTCTGAGGAAAGTATTATGGAGTTTAGAACTCTGTATAACATTCATGATGATGTTATTGTTCGCCTTCTTATTTCTGATAATAGCACCACAGAGGGATTAGAAGAACGAATTCCTCTCCCTTTGATAAACATAGTCAATGGGGGAGTTCAAATCCCCCTTCATCCTTTCCTTAGAGAGGTGCTTCATTTTTATGGGGTACCTCATTCCCAGCTTTTGCCCAATTTTTTTTAGAATTGTTATGGGCGTAATTGCTTTGAATAATATCTTAGGGCTCAATCTAGGCCTTTTTGAGATTAGATATTGCTATAATTTCGTCTTTATTACCAAAGAAAGTTGAAATTTACTTCATGCCCAGATCGGTGAAGCGTCAACATGTTCAGATGCTTCCTGATTTTGGCAAAGGTGTCAACGATATGTTTGTTATAGTAGAGGGAAACTGGGAATTCCTTCATGGTGTTGATTGGATCGAACCTATTCCTAAGGTCACTGGCCGAACAGGTTATCCTCTGTCTTTCTACTTGCCTATGATATCGTCTTTTATGATTTTTGTCTGCTAATTCTTTCCCGTCGGTTTTTGCAGAGTGGGAAGACCAAGTGAACCTCTCTCTTTTGTAACAAGCATGGTCGTATAGAAAGCCACTAGTGCAACAAGGTCAAGGTCGAGCGGCTCACGTGCTCCTTTCCTACGTCCCCTACTATGGTACCGTGATCGTAACAGATGGTATAGACCTTGGTGCCGACGGTTGCTTTGATTTTTACATCCTTCATCATCTTCAGGAGAATATCGAGGAAGTAGCACCTAAAGAAGAAGAACCTCAAGAAGAATCATCTAGTTTGGAGGCAACGATTTCAGACATCATGCCCGTAAAGAATTTCTTAGAGATTGCTGCTGCTAGAAAGCGTCAAAGAGATGGTGAGTCAGCCCCAACTTTCCAGGTTACTTCTGATGCCTCTGATCGGTCCCAACGATGGCCGATCATGGTGGTAGATGATTACCCTCCCTCCCTTGTCGTGGATGCTACTGAGTGCACTTCTTCCCAACCTTTGGTATAGAGATCAAGTAAGCATCCCACCAACCAACAAATATAGGTCCGGAAGAAGATCTGATCAGATTCTTCTTTTCCTGTTGCTGCTTCGTCTCCAGTTTTTGCCTTAGAGACAGCAGCTGTTGGCTCCCTTATCATCTTTATGCCTGCCCTAAAGGATCGACAGATGACCAATGTCGATACAACTATGGGCAATGCTGAAGTGGCCTCTGCAATTACCCGAAACTCCATTCTCCTTACGGATGCCGCTCAGTTGGCTGAATAGTCAGATGTAGCTATCTTCTCGCAGGCCTTGCACTTTTCTTTAGTGGTAAGTGTTTATCATCACTTTGCTGTGAGGTGTGTTTTTTTTTTAATTTAATTTATTTTTTTTTATTTTTTTTTAAATTCACATCAGCCTTACCCTTTTCTTTTTGTTCTATAAGGTCTGTTCTCTTCTTATGAGGCCATGGTTCGCCATGACAAAATAAACAGGGTTATTGACAAGCTAAAGACCTTAAGTGACAGGCAAAATGAGAGGGTGAAGGAGTTGGAACTTCGATTGGCTGCTTCGGAGGTTATGGTGGCGGAGGCTGAGAAAAAGCTTCAGACGATGGACTTTGTGCTAAAGTTTTTGGTGTAGGAGATCAGTGGTTTGAAGGAAGAGAAGAAGCAACTCTCTACTGCCATTTTTGCCTCAAAGGCAAGTCTTTCAGATGTGGTCAAGGCTACCAAGGATGAGGGATGCAATGAAGCTACTACCATTTACGACTAGCACTTCGCCAAATTAGAAAATATGCTGTTTGAAGACAGATGGACGTCTACACTTCAAGCTACTAATGTTCCAGTGGAGTCTGAACTGAGGAAGAACATCCCTTATCTGCGTCTAGATGCTTTGGAAAAGCCAAGTAGAGAGATTGCCGAAGGGGCTGGGGCAAAGTAATGAAGAGTCATAAAGAGTTCGTCAAGTTTTCTGCTTTTTATTATTGTTATTATATTTTTTTTATACTTGTTCGAGTTTTTTTTTTTTCTTAAGATTTTTTGGATTAACTTTTTAGTTTGTTTTATGAACGATTTTTGATTGTATGAATGTAGTTTGAAATTACGTCTTTGTTAGCACCATTCTTGATTATCTATTTAAGCGGTATCCCTATTTTTAGTTATTGCTGATTTGGAATATTTCTGGAATTTTTAGTAGAATTATCAGAGGCCTATTCCTTGCTTCCAAGCAACAGATTGTCATTATTTTTTTGGCCGATGTACTATCCCTAGGATAGGTTTTCTTAGGAGAACCCTCATGGGTCTCTTCCTTGCTCCTAAGTAAGAGATCGACATTGTTTTTGGCCGATGTGCTATCACTGGGATAGGTTTTCTTAGGAGAACCCTCATAAGTTTGTTCCTTACTCCTAAGAAAGAGATTGACATCGTTGTTTGTCCGATATATTATCCCTAGAATAGGTTTTTCTTAGGCGACCCTCATAAGTTCATTCCTTGCTCCTAAGCAAGAGATCAACATCGTTTTTGGCCGATGTACTATCCCTGGGATAGGTTTTCTTAGGAGAACCCTCATAGGTCCATTCCTTGCTCCTAAGTAAGAGATCAACATCATTTTTGGCCGATGTATTATCCCTAGGATAGGTTTTTTTAGGGTTTTGGGGTCTCTAGTTTTTTATGCGGTTACGTCACTTGGGCACATGTCAGTGATTTGAAGAGTTCATCAGTACTTGACTTTAAAAGCAAGGGCACGTTATTCAAAGGAAGCGACATGTGCGTCGGAAGGGTGTGTCGTTTCTCTTTCTTTTACATATATAGAGATACAAATCATTTGCATTGATATTTGGGATATTTGCTTTGACAGCATTTTCGACCTAAACAACGTTTGGTGCTGACACATGTTCTTGTGCCATCATTCAAAATGCCTCCCTTGGGTAACTTTTTCTATCTATCATAAGTTTTTTTTTTAGATTCATGTATAGATGCGGAAACATGCCTATTTGCTTAGTAGCCTAGAGGGTATAGCTCACTTTCAAACAACTTGTGATATTCCTAATAGTGTGAATATAGAACCTCCTTGCTTAGATGATAACTTCTTGTTTCCTAGTGACGATAGGGTTCCTTGGTTAGTTTCGGTTGTAGTAGATGGTGGGGTTAGGTTTCTTCTTCATCCTAGTCTTCGCGAGATCTTATCGCACAATGAAGTTCCTCTGTTTATTCTTAATACGATTTTTTTCAAAATTGTGAATGAGATGCTTTCCTTAAATAACATGCTAAACCTAGATTTAGGCTTAAAGGAGCTACAATATTGTTACAACCTCTATCAATCTCCTTTGGAAGCATTTTTTCTTGTATTCAAACACCGAGATTGGGATAGGTCGCTTGTTTGGCTAATTCCTGGAACCTATGTCGTAGAAATGGAAGATGTAGTTATAGTTTCAGGGGGTTAGGAATTTTCATCTCCTCTTTTTGCCAAGGGTGCTGCTATTGTGCCCCGAGTGTTGGGTGCAAGTGAGCATTATCCCAAAGAGTCTTATGGTTTAATTTTTCGTAGTTGTGTTTATCATACTAATCACAAATTGTCTTTGTGCCCGCAAATCATCGCTTTGTAAATACAGATCGGCATAACGAGTCGTGGGGGGAGTGAATTTGCAAGCTTTGCAGATGGTTTGGAGGTGCACCACAACGACTTTCCAATCTGCCGAAGTGCTAATAGATCAGTTCTTTCCCCCAAGTAACTGTTACTTCGCTGCCTTTTTCTTGCCCTCGGCCTTGCTGCGGAGGTGCCCGAAGAGCCTTAAAAGGAAGGGTCGTTGCTACTCCTCTTATTGGAAGTAGTGAACCAAGGAGAAGGCGATCGGCAAGCAGACACGATTCTTATTCTAACAGAGTCATTAGAATCTTTGACACCAGAAATGTTAAGGAGATGTCGTCTGATAAGGCAATCAGAGACTACGCAGAGAGCCCATAAGAAGGCCAGTGCGCATGGCCTACGCAGATCAATAAACCATTAACCAAGGAAAATGCCACCGTCATCAATTCACCAACGTATCCAAGCAAGTAAAGAGCAGATGGGTGACGCCGTAGAGGGACCGATCGAGTATGTATTCCAGCCAACTATAGGAGAGTGGCCACTTAGCAGAAGAGATTATATGTTTTCAGACACCAGGGTGGCCTTACCATGGCACGAGGTATGCAGATTTCGGAGGACATTCGTCATTTAGAGGGACAATCCAACCAACAAATTCTTGGTCATGAGATTCAAAACTTAGTTATAGTAAGATAAACAGCTTGCTTCCTTTTGATTTTAATCACAGTTATAATTATAATATGATAAGCATTTTTGATGATATAGGCGGTAAATCAATTCACGGAGGCAGGAGTTAGGCTGGGCAGTGAGAGAGATCATCAGGATGAAGATAGACAAAAGATCAAAGAAGAGAGAAGATTAATTGCCGAGGAAAGAAAACATATGGCAGTCGAAAAGGATCATTTATGAGAAGACTTGGCATGGGTCGATAGTAGGGTTGCGACAACGGCATCAGGTTAGATATCAGCTGAAGAAAATTTTGAGGCTGCGACCTAACAACATAATAAGCTAAGGTTGGATCATGAGGCGTTAAAAGCTGCTATGGAAGTAATGAAGAGTGAACGAGACATAGAGTTAAAGGCAGCTACAGAGGCCACATAGAATAAAGCAAACACCACTTATCTTGATCAAATGAACAAGTTAGAGAACTTTTTCTTTAGAGAGGGATGGAGGGTGACGATGCAAATGGTGGGAGTAGTCAAATCATCTACATTATACTCCCAAGTACCCCTGCTGAACCCTGATATCACTAACTGGACAATTTGTAAAGTCCTAGCTAGTCCTTGGTTGCCTTTTTTGTTTGTTTATTTGTTTATTATTATTATTTTTTCTGTGTTTTGGATCAATAAGCTATTTGACTATTGTAAAATGCTGTTCATTCTAGTTGTAAAGTTTTTGACAGCTAATGAAATAGGAACATCCTTCAAAAATAAATAATGCAACCTTGTGTTAATTCATTATGCTTTATGTCCAAGCATTATTACATAATAGCTACAAGGTTAATGATAATACTTCCTCAAATGCATCGTATTCCAAGGCCTTGGGAGCATGTTTCCCCGTTGGTCGGCAATTTCATACGCCTCTTCCCAATTCGACCTTAGTTTCGCTTCTGCCGCCTCACGGTTGCTTGGGAGGACTTTCTTTAGGACTAATTCACCGATCGTGTATCGCTGATGTTTTACGCGCTTGTTGTAGGCTCGAGCTATTTCTTGTTGGTATCTCGACTAGCCGAAGTGACACCCTCTCACGTCTCTCGGCCAGATCAAGATCCATCAAAATTAGACTTTCGTTTATGTCATTTTCTACCAAGTTAGGTCTTCCTTCTAGAAAATCAATTTCTAATGGAATGATAGCCTCCATTCCAAATATGAGAAAGAACGGTGTTTCTCTGGTGTTTCTCCAATTGCACGTTGAAAAGTAGTGTAGTATGACCAGAGGATTGTTGGGAGTTCTTTTTCCCACATTCTAGTGGAAGTTTCCAACCGCTTCTTAATGCCATTCATGATAGTTTTATTCGAAGCTTTGGCTTGCCTATTGCCCTAAGGATAAGCCAGTGTAGAGTAGTAAGCTTTGATTGCACATTGGTCACATAATTCCTTATATAATCTTCATTCAAACTGCATGTCGTTGTCGAATATGAGTGCACTTGGAACACCGAACTTGGTAATTATGTTACGCCATATAAATTGCCTAATATCCACATCCTTGATATTGGCTAGTGGTTCGGCCTCTATCCATTTCATAAAAGGCTACAACCAACCACTTCAAATTACCTGGGGCTTTAGGCATTGGTTCGACCAAATCCAACCTCCATTGCGCAAATGGCCAAAAACTCAAACTCGCAACTAGGTTGAGTTCCTTAGATGGTTGTCGCATGATCGACACATATCTCTGGCATGCTGAGTATCACTGTACAAATTGTTGGGCATCTTTCTGTATATAGGGCCACTAATACCGCTGGGTAAGGGCTCTATGTGCCAAAGATCTGCCTCCAGCATGAGCCCCACATGACCCTTCATGAATTTCTTACAATATGCTTGCTACCTTGTTTGGGTGGATGCACCTGAGGTAGGGACTAGAATATGACTTCCTAAATAACTGGTCTAAGTCATTCATCTAGAAATGCATAGTTTGGAGCCGAATCCGATGTGCTTCCTTTAGTAATGTTCCTTTGGACAAATAACGGCCGAACGAGATCATCCAGCTTTCAGCCTGCTAGATGTGCCACACATCTCCCCCTGCAATGCTGAGGAAATGATAGTTCTGACCTGAATTGTTCATTTTTTGTTTGATCAACCGCTGTGACTAGGCTAGCCAATGCGTCGCATGACTATTTTGATCTCTTTCTATTTATTGAATCTTAAACAAAGAAACTGCTCTGCTATATTCTTGGTTATAGCAAAATATTTCATCATTCTTTTGTCACGGACTGTATATTCCCCGTTCATCTGCGTTGTAACCAACTGTGAGTCACATTGAACACTTATAAAGTCCCTCTAGCAATTTTGTAGTGGTGAGCCCATTAATGAGAGCCTTATATTCACACTCATTGTTGGTGGCTGAGAAGGCTAGCTTAGTAGAAAATTATATTTCCTCTTTGTCAGACATGGTTAATACAAACCCCATTCCTGTACCTTCGTTGTTGGAGGCCCCATTACAACGCGTGGTCCATAATACTCCTGACAAGAAGCTATCCTCTATTTTGATTCTTTCTTTTAGGGAGAGTTTTGCTACAAAATTTGCCAGGACTTGTCCCTTGATTGCAGTTGATGATTTGAATTGAATGTCGTATTGCCCAAGCTCGACAGCCCATTTGGAAATTCTTCCCGATGAATCTGGCTTGTAAAGGACCTGTTTAAGTGGATATTTGGAATAGACAATGATGGGATGGGCGAATAAGTAATGTCATAGTTTCCTGGATGTTATGACAAGTGCCCAAAGGAGTTTTTCTAAAGGCAAATACCTGGTTTTTGCATCTAGCAATGTTTTGCTTATGTAGAAGACTGATGATTGCCCATTCGAAGATTCCCTAATGAGTGCCG